CCGGATGTTCTTCCCGGATGAAGGTCAAACCCTTGTGCTTGGCGTTCCTCCTCAGGAGGAAGGCCGAGCACAGACCATACCCGGATGTTCTTCCCGGATGGAGGTCAAACACTCGTGCTCGACACTCCTCATCAAGAGGGAGGTCGAGCGCAGACCATACCCGGATGTTCTTCCCGGATGAAGGTCAAACACTCTCGCGCTCGGCGCCCCTCCTCGGGGAGGGAAGGCGAGCGCAGGCCATACCCGGATGTACTTCCCGGATGAAGGTCAAACATTTGCGCTCGGCACTTCTCCTCGGGAGGAAAGCCGAGGGCAGACCATACCCGGATGTTCTTCCCGGATGAAGGTCAAACATTTGCGCTCGGCACTCCTCCTCGGGAGGAAGCCGAGCGCAGGCCATACCCGGATGTTCTTCCCGGATGGAGGTCGGATATTCACGTTCAAAATACCAAAAAAAAAATAATAATAAATAAATAAATAAAATCGAACTCAAATCTTATTCATCCCTGAAAAAGGGGAGAGCACATGGCGCAAACATCGCAGAACGAACCAGGGGACAAAGGCACCAAGGCTAAGGCGTTTGGTCGGAGCACCTCCTTGTGAGGGCGAGCCCGCGCTCGTCCTCGGTTGGGTGACGAGGCGAGGCTAACAAGCCTAGGCGGGCTATGCGTGGGCGTGGTCCCGTATGGGCAAGCGCCCCGGCAGCGGCCGTTCGGCCTCCAAAACAATCGCGGAAATACAATTAAAGACGAAGCAAAACGATAGGCATCACAAACCACGAAGAGTCAAGGGTGATAGTTGCGCGGTGCAAAATACATTGTTCGAGCGCAGAAACATTACATCAAAGGAAAAAAAAACTAAGGGTGGAGTTCATCGGTGGGCCCAGCTGCGTTCAGTTACCGACGGTGTCCTCGCCCCCGCCATTGGCGTCCTCGTCCTCAGAGTAGTAGATGGATGAGTCAAACTCCTCAGGGTTCTCGCATGGCTTCGGGAGTTCTTTCCCCTTTTGGATCCGCTCGAGCAGAACCTCTTGAGCCCGTTGCAGCCCCAGGGAATAGTTGGCTTGCCCTTCTTTGAAAAGGAGACGCTGGCCGGCCGGAGTTTGAGCCCAGATCTTCAAGAGATCGTCCATGCGGGAGAGAGCCGCCTCCTCGAACGCAGGGGAGGTCTGAAAGGCCTCAATTACATGCTCGGCCTCCCCATCAAGACGGCGTGCTTCCTCCTCGGCAGCAGCGCGTGCCTGCTTCGCGGCCCGGACCCGCTCCTCCGCATCAGCGAGCTTCCCCTCGAGGCCAGCCACGTGCTCCTGTAGCCTCCGAAGCTCCTCTTCACCTTTGGCCTTCTCCGCCACATACCATTCGAAGCGCTCCACCAGCTCTGGGGCGCGCATGGCCACCTACAACAGCAGTGAAATTCCGGAAAAATTTGTTAGAATTCATAAGTGTCGGGCAGAAACGCACGCCATACCTGAGCGAAGAATGCTTACCGAGCCCAACTCGAGCAAGAGAGTGGAGGCGAGGTCCTGCGTGGCGGCCAAACTTATCTCCATTCGGTCGGGCGGAGGGATGAAGCTCTGTAGAAAACGGCGAGGCTCATAGTCCCCATGCAAGAACGAAGGTTTGAGGGGGAACGCCACCTTCACGAAGGCCAGGTTCCCGTAGTCCACCGAGCGCGAGGGTGGAGACCTCGCCCCGCTCAGCGAAGCCCCTTCCGCCGAGGAGCTCACCTCCTTGCGCTTCTTCCTCGCCTGGGCATGCTCGGCAGACAGTGCGGGAGTTGGGAGCGGAGGCCGTTCTTGGCTGGACTCCGCGCGCGCCTTAGACTTAAACAGCTTCTTCCGATCGGCCGCGGAGATCATGATTTCGCCTGCAAGAAAAGTAAGAGATAAGTTTGAATCCCCTGAACAAATTGCGAACGGAGTGTAAATCCGCCAAAGAATTGAACAAAGAAAACCTGATGGCCCCTC